AACAGAGGTGGGGGGGGGAGTGCCACCCTTGAGTCTAGGCAGACTGGGAGCCTGCCCTCTGAGACTGGCAGTAAGGCCACAGAAGATGCCCATGAGCCCCCAAAAACCTTGCCCTCGCCCTTTGCTGAGAACAAGTGGGGCACAGGAGGGGCACTGCCACCACAGCAGAAGAGGAACTGCCGCTGCCACTCTGCCACTGTACCTTGGTGAGACCACTGGCTGTGGTTCCTGCTGTTGCCTCTCCCTGTGGTATCTGAGCCCACAGCACAGACTGCTGAGGACAAGGGCTTGGGGCTCCCATCATGCCGGGGCAGCCAGGCCAGAGCCCTTCAGTAGCAAAGCCAGCCTCGAGCACGTACAAGGGAACCCCTGGTGCCCAACAGGGGCCACCGCTCCCACAGGAAACTGCCTCACCCACAGGCTTGAGCCGGAGCAGAGGGAGCGCTGCAGCAGCTGGCTTCCCGGAGGGAAAAGACTGGGAGCCTAGTGTGAATTCAGAACAGGCTCACTCACACAAGGAATTAACGGAACTTAAAATAAGCCACTGAGAAGTACTTAGAAGAAGAAATGGAAAGCGTAGTCATAGGACAATAAGAAGTGAAATCCATTAAAACATGAAAAATAAAAAAGAAATGAAAACCCTACAATTGGCGATTTGCCTTACAAGAAGAGAAGAGCCCAAGGGTGTGGGTTGTGTAAAGAAATAAAGAACAGTCAAGGAGAAGAGGAGAGGGATATTGATAGAGAATTGAAACAATGTGGAAGTCCCTGAGGACAGCAGATGCAGGCCTGAGGACTGGTAGGAATAGCCTGAACTGGAAAAGTCCAAGTTAAAAGGTTCAACAGAAAAGCAAACAGAAGAGGATATAGCTCAGTGGCACAAGCACCTGCCCGGTAAGTGCAAGGCACCGAGTTCAATTCCCAGCACCAAAAAAAAAAAAAAAAAAAAAAGGAAGACAATGAACAGCTTCAGAAAACTCGGTTAATGTCCTAGAGAACAGGGTAGACTATGGTAAAGCAGAACAGACAGGGAGAGAGAAGAATGAGCGAGGCAAGGAGTGGCAGCAGGCGTGACCACGGCACTGGCACGAGCCCTCGCCCAGCCAGCACGTTAGGCAGCTTTTACAGACACAAGCAGGCAAGAAGTCAGACGGAAGCAAGAAATGAAGATCTGGAAACCGAGCAGAGATGGAATCTCAAGAAAAGTACAACAGGAAATTTATCAGCAAATCTGTCCGGAAGGGTTCCGAGTTACAAGATGACTACCAGATCAGCGAAGAAGGGGAAATCAGTACAGACCCTCCTGGGCAGAAAGGCAGGATAGACCTGCGCCCAGCAGCAGGTCGGTGGCACAAGGCCTCTTGTGCGATCGCCTGGGCTGGAGTCCCTGACAGCAGGCGGCACCCGACCAGATTCCTCCCGAGACAACTCCATGGCTCCTACCTCACGGTCCTGGCTTTCAGCTGAGATAGGCAAAGCCAGGACCAGCACACAGCAGGGGCGGCAAGAAGGTGGAGCTAGAGATTAAACAAGATGCTGCTGAATGAGCATCTGGACTCCTCACAGTCTACTTCCTCAAACATCTCACACATTTTAAAAAAAACAATGTATAATCTAAAAAGTAAAATTTTACTTATTGGACTGTTTAACTTTTTTTCATAATTTTATTGAGAAACAAATAGCAGTGAGACAGTTTCAAACCAAATTGGTAGGACAGTTTCAATAGTTAACACACTGCACACATTTTTCCTAGGTTAATTGCTGCACAAGATGCGGACATTATATCCTATTTACAAACACCATTAAAACAAATCCCTCTATTCATTAAGAGATGGACTGTTTAACTTTTTTATTGTTCCCCATTGACAACAAGCCATGAAAACCTTCTTCAAGGAAAATACTTTCGTACTAACTATATATGTCAATGAAAATTCCTGTAATATTTTTATACTGTTTTCTGGCATCTATAACCTTTGAGCAGATTTTGTAAGCAAAAGCAAGTACCACTGAGTTTGGCATTTCAAGCTACCTAAATGCCAGCTGTGTAAAGAGCACGTAAACAAACTGTCATTAATACTTTGGTAGAGTTAAATATTGGCTTAGTAATAACTTAAGAAAAAAGAACTGAGGGCTTACATCAAAAAAAGAAATCTCAAATAAACAGCATAATGATGCACCACAAGTTCTTAGAAAAACAAGAACTGAACCCAAAATTAGTAGGAGGAAACAAACAATAAAGATCAAAGCAGATGTAAAGGAAGTAGCAACTGAAACATTAATATCCGGAATAAAGAACTCAAAGACTTAACACAAACAACAAGTCATGTGACCACAATATGGGCAAATGTTCTGAATACATGCTTCTCAAAATAAGTATAAGCAGCCAACAGATACATAAAAAAATGATTAAGAGCGTTAATCGTCTGACACCAACTCCCTGGATGAATGGAAGCATTATGCATGGCAAACATATACTAACAAAATAATTTTTTATATTTTTTTTTTAAGTCTTAGGGGTCGGGAGATAGCTCAGTAGAATAAGTGCTTCTCTGGCAAGTGAAGTTGAGCCTGAGTTCAATCCCTGATACCACCAAAAAAAAAAAAAAAAAAAATTAAAATTTTAATTATCTGTAGTCATCAAAGAAGTACAAATCAAAACCACATCGGGACTCCACCTCACCACAGTCAGAATGGCCGTTATTAAACACACACACACACACACACACACACACACACACACACACACGAGGCTATGGTTGTAAGAAAAAGGAACGCTTATACACTGTTGGTAGGAATGTAAATGGGTACAGCCACTATGGAAACAGTATGGTGATTTCCAAAAAGCTAAAAATCGAGCTATCAAATGATCCAGTTGTCCTGTTCCTGGGTATATACCGGTTATGGTTTGTGTCTGATGTCCCCCCAAAGCCTCATGCAGTCACTGGGGGGGGGGGCGCCTTCTAGAGTTTGTAACCGATTCGTGGTCCAATGCTGGGATTATGGGTACTATGCCCACCCCAGGGCAGGCAGCCTACGCACGACATAAGGGAAGGAGAGAGGCTTGCCCTCTGTGGCTCCTTCCTTTTTGCTCTTGCTCTTTGCTGTTTTCTGAGCCATGAACTACTGCCCTCTGCCATGTGTCACTCTGCCTTGGAGCCAGCCACCTACGGACTGAAACCACAAACTGTGAGCTAAATAAACCTTTGCTTATTCTGGGCATCAGGTAGTTTGCTCAGCAACAAGAACAAAGTAACCAAGACAATATCCAAAGAAAATGAAGTTCGCACACCAAAGAGAACCCTGAACGCCATATTCACTGTGACACTAGTCACAGCAAGACGTGGGCTCGCTCAGGAGGCTGGCAACAGATGCAAGGGAGGATTGGTCACATGTAAGGAAATCGTGTATCTTGGAGGAAAACGGGTGGAACCAGGAGACACTGTATTAAGTGAAACAAGCCAGACAGATATGAAGTATACCATGCTTCCTCTCATATACGAAACCTAAGAAAGATGGGGTGGGGAAAAGAAAGGAAAAGAAAGACTTCTTGGGCCGGGGAGATGGCTCAGTGGAATAAGCACTTCCCTGGCAAGCGCAAGGGCTGGAATTCAATCCCCAGTTCCACCAAAAACACAAAAGAAAAAAAGAAAGATTCCTTGATGAAGGGAAAGGAGGGCCAGGGAGATAGCTCAGCGGCATGAGCACCTGCCTGGCAAGCGCAAGGTCCCGGGTTTGATCTCTGGTACCAAAAAAAAAAAAAAAGGGAAAGGAATGGGGACACAAAGAACAGCCCAAGGCAGAAGGGAAGGAAAGCAGCTAAATGTGGCAATGGGCACGACAGAGCTGGCACAGCAGACGGGGGCGGGAAACATCAGCTGCCTTTCTAGCTTCCCTCCCGGCTTCCTTGCTTCCTTCGAAGCAGTAGGCAGAAGGACAGAATTCCATGTCTTATTCTTCTCCCTGAAGAATATAAACATGGTAACACAGGAAGATAACGGAACAGAACCTGACCTCCCCCAGCCCACCCAAGAGGCTGGAGTCTACCTAGGTCTCCATTTGTTCCTTTGTTCCTCCACTTTCACTCACGGATCTTTCACTTAGCATTAGCAGCCAGGGCTAAGGAAGCAGTGTCGGCCCTCATGGGGCCTCGCTAGAGCGGAAGAGCCATCCATCAGTCACTCACACACTCACAAACTACACACTAAGCAGCAGCCCTGCAAAGGAGAGGTGCACAGAGATTGTGCTGGAGGCTGGGAAGTGAAGCTGTGCGTGGAAGCCACAGCAGGCATCGCAGAAAACAGCAACTGGAAGACAGCTAAAGAATTCATTGATGAAGAAGGAAAGAAAATCCAGGCAGGCGATGGCAGGAAGGAATACAGAGTCATGGTCCAGGCAGCTGACCATGTAGGGCACCAAGTCTGGAGTTTGCATTTATCATGTGAATCCAAGGGCACACGCAGGGATTAAAGCAGCAGGGCAGGCTTAGGTGAGGTCACCAACAGAGAGAGAAGGGACCTGCAGCACATGCTCCACACCCACGGCTGGAAGTGGTTATAATCATGCCTGATGAGGCTGCCCGGGAAGTCAACTCCAGGCAGCTAGGGGAGTATACCGCACCTCAGGGCAAGCTGGGGCAGCAGCATCCCATGATGCAGTGCACAGTGTGGCTGAGCTGCCATGACGCCCCTGCTGACACCCTGCTGTGCAGCAGATCTCAGCACTGGGGCCTGGAAGACCTCCTAAAGGGTCTGGGAGTACCCGGGACGCAGTCTGCAGCTTCCCAGGGAAGAAGCCACCATGTCACATGACCTGGCCTGAGAACTGGCTCAAACAAGAGAATCAGAAGACATCAGCCTAGACAAAGCCACCCCCTCAGTCTCAGACTGGTTAAATATGTATGGCTTTAGAACTAGGGCAACATCAACACGAGGGTACAGGGAGAGGGGATCCTGAACTCCCTCCAGCAGCAGCCACGGCACACCCACAATGAATCTACTCACCTGGTCCGGCACCTGGACCTTGGACCTCAATGGTCTCCTTATCCAGCTCGTCAGCCTGCTCGGAGTTCTCAACCACCTGATCCAACTCCTCACTCAGCTACGGGAAAAAACAAAGCAGATGAATTGCCTGGCTGCATTGGCTTTGCTTTTCTAGACTAAAATAAGAAAGCAGAAGCTATTACTCACATAACTGTCACACACACATACAAAAAAAAACATAACACAAGTGTCTTAATCCAATTCTAGGGGCTGGAGAGATGGCTCAGTGGTCTAAAGCACCTACTTGGAACAAGCTTGGCAAGGCATCAGGGACCGCGGTTCAATCCCCCAGCACCACATGCCAGCCAGCCCCGCCCCCTGGTGGGCTGAGCTGGCC